CGAAGGGCTAACGCTCGAAACGTCAGCTTTTGTAATCGTTACGGTGGCCAATTTACCATTTCAACTTTGTTGATATCTCCAAATTATCTCGTTACCCCCACCGACGCAGCCACAAACACAGCCTTTATAAATATTTAAGGCTGTTTTAACGTTTTTTATTTATTTTATTAATTTATTAATTATTTTTTTTAGAGAAACCAGGTTATAAATCAAAAGGGCATAGAGAAGAAACTCCTCGAACGCACGAAGATCTAGGAAGACAACCGAAGGCTGAAGTGTTGAGTCACAGGAAACAACTCACAGAGCACAAAGAAGAAAAATCTTCGCATAGAAAGGATTTAAATGTTTCGACAGTGAGTAAGAAAAAGACTCCTGATGTAAAGAGAGACAGCAGTAGGGAATGTTTGACAAACAACGTAGATATTAATGGATCTTCAGATCAAAGAACTAGTGATGAAAGTGAGGACACTGACGATAAACTTGGTTCTAGCATGGACGATTTGCATAATAATAACGACCATATAGAAACTGTACGGTCCTCGGAAGAACATATCAACAGACGCGCTAGCTCAGGCAGTTCTTCAAATGATGGAAGGCGACCCAGTATTGTAGATCCGGAAAAACGATCGAGTGTTTGTGAAGGTTTTCCCGGATTCCCCAATAAAAAGATGATGTTATCCATGTTATACGGACAAAAGTCCGTAGATGATGGGGATAGGAAAAACATGGATGGTACTTTGTCTCCTGGAGGAGATTCAGTGCAGGAAAGGAAGCAGCAGCTGATGTCCGGAGGCAACGATGAAGCCGGGCAGAGGCCATCAGAATTACTTGCAGTTGATCATTTAGTTTCTGAGGCTGTTAAAAGATTGAGTGGATGTGTTGAGGTCGACGAGGAAAATGAGACACCCTCTAGTACTCCGGAGGGAAATTTTGAAGGACTCGTGGAGAAAGCAAAGTCTGGGCTTACAAAACAGCCAACCATTGACAAACCTGATCCGGCTGCGGAGGAGGAAGCTAGAAAACAGGAAGAACTACGGAAGAAACAAGAGGAGGAACGTAAAAGACAGGAGGAGGAAGCTGCCAGAAAAGCCGCCGAAGAAGCTGCTATACAAAAGGAACTAGAATGGGAGAAAATGATCATACTGAAAAGGAAACTCATTGTAAACGAATTCAACTTCACTGAGTTAGAGGATGATGAAGATGAACTTTTGGACAGTACGTCTTCTAAAGCAGATGAAACAGATGCCCATCCTCATCAGGGAGTTCCCATGTTTGGAATACCTGTACCCCCACCCCCCATTGCTGGTGGGGCCCCGCCTCCCCCGCCGCCCCCTGGAGGTGCTGCTCCTCCTCCCCCTCCCCCGGGACTACCCAAGGCACCCTTTTTAAATGATTCTAATCCGAAGAAAAAATTGGTTCGTTTATTTTGGCAAGAGGTTAAGAATTCTCCTCTTATAAACGGTGTTAACAAGACAATCTGGGGAAGTATTGATTCAGTGGATGTTGACACCAAAAAACTGGAACATTTGTTTGAGAACAAGACGACTGCTAAAGTAAAGGTGGGGTGCTCTCATAGCTATTACAGTATTCAAAAATAAGTTTTGTTTCCGTGGTCCTTTCTTTAGCGAAGATTTCCGCGTAATGAATATTTACCCACAAAACAAGGTATGGTAGGATCCCTTTACTTTGATCACTGTTGGACCTGGAAAATTGAGTGATTACTGAAGGATGGTCGAATAAACGAGCGTGTGAAAAAAAAAAAAAGGTGATAGTATTCATAGACAGGTGGACGTAGAAGCTGCAAGGGTTGCCAAGTCATCCTTAAAATTCAATCTAATCAGAATTTCAAATACTGTTGTAGATTTTCCTTTTATTTAGAGTTGAAGGAAGTTCTGATTAACAGATGGTAAACACCACAGCGTACACTATTGAGTTATGGATGCACGCGGGAGGTTGCTAAGCACGAAAGAAGCGTAAGAGTCGCTCGAGGCGATAGCCGAGAGCGACTCTAGCTTCTTGAGTGCTTAGCAAACCTCCCAAGTGCATCCATAACTCAATAGCGTACGCTGTGGTGTTTACCATTTGTTTTATGACATGGCATTGATACAATGTAGCTAAAGAGTTCCCTTTTATTTAACAAATCTTACGCGACCAGAAAAAACAAGCGCGCGCGGAAAAATAGTATTTGCATTTGCTCACCTCAGCAGCGTACACCCATGGGCAAATGGGGGACGCTAAATTCACCAATCAGAGCGCGCGCTTTGCTTTGGTTATGTTATAATTGGAATCGTGGTAAACCTGAAATACTCCTGCCTCTTATCGAGGTTGATTTACTTGTTTCCTTGTAGAAATGCGAGGGGGATGACAAAGACAAAAAGAAGGAAATAGTTGTTCTGGAAATGAAGCGATCTCAAGCGATTAACATCGGGTTGACGAAGTTACCACCGATCAGAGCTTTGAAGCAAGCTATTTTGGCGATGGACAGCGCCGTGATCGATAGAGAGGGAATTGATGTAAGTATCATTACGGTCACGCAATGCTATCTTTCAGTTTGTGTGGAGTGATTAACAAACAGAGTTGCGGGAGAAGTTATTGTGAAGTACTCTATTGTTGTAAGTGGAGTTCTGTGTTAAAGTTCAAATATATTCTTTCGCTCTATGAAAACGAAACGACCATTTCAATTTCAGAGCAGCTGTTAAGGTATCAGGCACTTCAGTTAGTGTTACTAGTTATCTCCGCATTACGCTTACTTGATGTTATAAAAGATAACAAAGGGACACTTTCAGAACCAGTTAGTAAACCTGAGAATGTCCGACGGTGGCAAGAGAAGTCGAATTAAATGAGTATCTTCAAATTACAATTGAATATCTCTTTATAGACAGGTTCTTTGTCCTTTCAAAATTCTCTACCATAAATTTTGTTGAGTAGGTCAGTACCTCCTAACGAGGGAAAAATAACGAGGAACTAATTTTATTTAATAGTTGATTTAATTTATAATTTAATTCTAACGAGGAATGTTATTGTTCTTCATTTGTTTTTCTTAATGTTTTGTGAGGTCCAATTGGTTTCACTGATGACGTGTCATTTTATACCTGTAGAAATTGCTCCAGTTGCAACCTACGGTGGAAGAGAAAACTAAGATACAGGAGGCGCACATGTCAAACCCAGACGTGCCTTTGGGAACAGCTGAGCAGTTCTTGTTAACAATGTCTTCCATAAACGAACTGGCGCCGCGTTTGCATCTGTGGGCCTTTAAACTTGACTATGATCAGCTAGAAAGGGTAAGAAATCTTAACGACTCTAATGAAGGAGACTTTTTCTCACCCCACCTACGGCTTAGTGATAATGCAGTTCAAACTAAAGTACAGTGTTTGATTGATTTTTCAGGAAGTAGCGGAGCCTTTCATGGACTTAAAGGAGTCTGTACAAGAACTGCGTAACAACGAGACCTTCAAGCACATTTTGGCCACTCTTCTTGCCATAGGAAACTTTTTAAATGGAAAAAAGGTATTGATCTTAAATTGTTTGCTGTGACCTTAAGAATAATTTTTACCGAGTTCGAATTGTTGCGCAAACTTTAATTTCGTCTGGCATTCAATTCTCAGTGCGATGTGATTCAGACTGGTGTTGATTTGATTGCAGGTGAAGGGATTCCAGTTGGACTATCTGGCTAAAGTGCCAGAAGTAAAAGACACAGTGCACAAGCAGTCATTATTATATCACTTGTGTTGTATGGTAATGGAGAAATTTCCAAACTCCACTGATTTTTACAGCGACTTGGGAGCCTTACATCGCTCGTCCAGGGTATGTGATCTGATCTACAATCAGCGACAAAATTAGTTGACACAGAGTGTTTTAACATTGCTAAATATGCGCTGAAAAACACAACCTTTCGTACATGTTATAAGTCATTGATATGAATAACCCCCCTTCCCCCATTCAATGTTTTCTCTATGAAGCTAAAAGTTCTCGGAATCTCGATACAAAAATGTTTTGGCGGGAAGGGGGTGAATAGGGCAACTTTACAAGGTCAAAAGGTAAGAATTTGAAAAGGTCAATGTGTCTACAATTTTGTCGCTGATTGTAGCTAATCTAGCTGATCTGGTCCAGTGGCTGGAATAATCATTGAAGTTCGGATTGATTGAGCCAATGAGTAAGCGACACTTGTGCAGCTGTGTTTGACAAGACTGTTCGTCATTTCTGATCGATTGACAGGCGAACAGACAGACAGACAGACAGACAGACTGACTGACAGACAGACAGACAGACAGACAGACTGACAGACAGACTGACTGACTGACAGACAGACTGACTGAGTGACTGACAGGCAGACAGACAGACAGACAGACAAACAGAAAATAGATCAACCGTCTTACTGAGCTCTTATGTCCAGTGTTTTTGTGAGTAACCTTATTTTGTTATCGACGCGTCAATGAGATCTCGCACTTTTTTGCGTTTCAGGTGGATTTTGATGTGGTAATGGATAACTTGAAGAAACTGCGTGAAAACTGTAAAAAGTCTTGGGAATATTTGAGTATTGTTGCCAAACATGACAGTACCAAACAACTCAAAAGCAAGTAAGTCAAAGAGAACATAAGTGTAAAAAAATCATTCGAGTTCTGCTTAATGCAGTCTTGCTGAAGTCCTCCGAAAAGTTCTGTAAAGCGCATCAGAGCATCTATGTGGAGAAAGCGTTCAAAAATTCGTCTTTTTCATTCTATGGTAGTCAGCTTATGGGACAGCCAACTCCAGATTTTTATTGTCATTTCTCATCTTTAAGAAAGTAATGAAGCTCTATAGAATATACAACGCACTGCGCACTTAAAACACTCCAATATAACCGGCACGAAACACGGAGTTAGGTACATATGCAGTGGGGTTATTTTATTGTGTTCTGCTTCTATTTGATGTTTTCGGGTTTTTTTTGTTACTGCTTAACTAAATGTAATTGCGGTGTTTGAATGAGTTTTTTCACCAAATGCAACACGGCTTTCGAAAATGTCAGATTTTGACTCAACATAGTTGTAAAAGTTGAAGGAAATATGTCTGTATTGGCTATGACTTTTTATTTGATGGAAATGAAGTACTGAGCTTGATCAGGTAAACCGTTGTTCTTTCTCCAGAATGAGTGAATTCTTAGCAGACGCTCAAGAGCGTAGCACCATCCTCAAAGTTGTCCACAGAAGGGTAATTAACAGGTTAGTCACATCTTAAATCATGTGCTCTCTGATTTTTTCAAAAGTTTATTTTAAAAAATCGCCCAGAAAAATCCCGCAAAGCACTCTGAGGTAGTAAACGACATAATTCTCTAGTGAAGATAAAAAGGTACGAATTTGAACAAGAACTACTCTACACTCAGAAATAGATGTGGAGAGTGAGCATGTGATGATAGTGTTAAATTCCGCCATAACTTACTTTGTCTGAGGAGAAACTTGGAAACCAGTACACTAGTTCTCGAGTATAAACTAGTTAACCTGTTTAGTGACTATAATTGTCATAATAATTTTTTAAAGATTTCACAAGATGCTGTTGTACCTTGGGCTGCAGTCAAGCGTAGCGAACAAGACCAAGGTAACATGGCACAGAGAGTGCGTGTTGTTTTGTTCAACGTAATTTGTAGTTACACAGCTTGGAATTTAACTGTCAACGTTGATTTGAGTATTCTGGCAAATGAAGAGTGTACTTTAATTGTCAAGGTCATTGTGTTTTACCTCAGGTCAATGAGTTTTGCAAAATTATAAGTGAGTTCTCCCTGGAATACCGAACCACCAGGGAACGTGTGATCCAGATGAAAAAGAAGAAGGAGAACATGAGAGAACGTAGCAAGACGAGAGGAAAGCTTATAACAGAAACAGAGGTAACCACCCACATTTAGACGTAACAGGTTAAGAGCTACCATAAGTGAAATAAAAGAAAACCATATTTCAATTTGAATAATCACAAATTTTCGTTCGTTTTTTTCAGTCTTACTCAGTAGCCGCCAAGGTATCCGCTGAAGAAAACATAGAAGCATTCCGTAAAGCTCTCATATCCAATGGAGATGAAACGGATAACGCGAGAGAGAAGTTAAAAAGCGCCACACTGCCTGGAACACGGAACAGGATCAAAAGTGCTGGTCCCTCTCGCACTAATTCAGGGGTACAAACACTAGATGAATTTCCAGACGACACCACTGATGAAGTTATCAACACACTGGCAAAGTCGGCGACAGTTCCGGATTCAAGAACACGGCAGGGTAGAAAGCGACCCAGGGCTTCCAATAGAAAATCAGGTCAGGACGTAAGTAGGTTAGGTGGGCAATAGAGAATAAGGGGGTGTCTCTTGCGCTACTGCGGATAGTTTTGGAGTTGAATGTTTCCTTCGCGATTCGGTGTAGATCTTCTCAAAAGAGCAATAAACATGTACATTACGCGTGGAGGGAAGAAGTTGCGCGGCTCATTTTCTGGTATATCAATCAATGTGGCTTGAAGATTATCTAGCTGCGACGAGAATTATTGTGCCGTGTTTTTATGCAGTGTTTCTCTCCACCAACGAGAGCGGAAAATGCCTAGAAACTTACCGAGTAAACCGTTCGAAAATTATACCCAATGTGAAACAAAATGCGCAATTTTGATTCTTACCTGGCTGCCTGACTGTGTGCCTCCCACGAGCATTCTATTCTGGTAGGGTAGCAATCCTCTTTCGAAAAACAGGGTGAATTCGACTTTTCTCACCTATGAACTCTTTCTGTCATAGCACGAAGGACGCTGAAGAGTGGAATAAGTCCCGAAGATATGGAAAAGCTCACTAAACAGTATTTGAATAATATGGAAACGAAATGACCCTTGTTAACTTAATTTAAACAGAATTTATCAGTAATTATATTTTATACAAAGAAATAGTCTTATGTGATAGTAAAATACAAGGCAGGCTGTTCAAAACATAGGTTCATGAGGGATTTTTTTGTAGCGACAGCGAACGAGCAGTGTTATTTGGAGATTTGTACATAAAATGTGACTTTTAGGACATTGTAAAGTTTGTTTCTTTTCCCATGTTGATATCAATAATGAATTGTAGATTTTAACCTACTGACGGTTGTTTAGTTGATCTATTTTCATACTATTTGTACATTTCACCTGTAATATATTTCTATCAACTAAAGCTTCCAGCAGAATAGTTTGAGCAGACACAAATCTCCTTTACCCTCGAAAGATAAACAAGCAATGTTTTCACTCCTTTTATTCTCTTACAAAGTACATAAACAAATTTGTAATTATGAACAGTCAGATTTGTTATAAATCATGACAAACACGTTTCATGATAGTTTGTAAATTCCGCGTGATTTCATGACTCACAGTGAACTTGAATGGCACAAAAATAAGTTGATGAACCAAACATTGTTTTAATCTTTTTGTCTCCTGATTTCCACGAATGATCATTGTTCGATTTTTCTCACAACTAGTCCAAAAAGGTGTGGACTTTAACCCTTAAACTCCCAAGATGTGATTATGAATTCTCTCCTCTAGCTGCTACACATTTCCTTTTAAATTGGTTACGAGAATTTGGTGTTCGATCAGGGTAGCAACTTGTACCTGATAAGTTTGAATATTCTCATTACCTGTTTACTGGATGATGTTTGGATTTTGTAGGGGAGAAGTTACAGGTTAATCCCTTCTCGGAGCTAAAGGGTTAAAACCTGCCGTAGCCAAATAATCAGTAATCGTAAGGGAGCGTATAGCTGCATGCTATCTGAGCTTCTCAGCTCACAATTAAGCAGGTGTCTTCTAAGAGAAAACATAACTTAACCGGCGTCCACGACGATTCAGCGAATTTTGTCTACGCTTTGTGATTCGTTTCCTTGGCGGTAATTAACTGTACTTGCTAAGGAATATTTTTGTCCTTATTAAGAATGAACTATGTTAAACGTGCAGTATTTCCTTTTCAGTCGCAAGCAGGTCTTGTTGTTCTGACTTCAAATGGATCCTATGATAGTACTGACACATAACATGACAATTTTACAATTTTTGCTTCATGTCTGAAGAAAATTAATTATTTTGGTAGTAAAGAAACCAATGTACTTAAAGATGCAGGGTACACCTATGTAGAGTTGGGTTGTTTTGTAACGATACGTATGCTAAAGATTTTTAACCAGTTATTACAGATGGCAATGTCAGTTGGTACCGTAATATAGCCAGTTGATTGGCTGAGTAAAGAATCCGGTCTATTTTGAATCTCTATGAGTTCTTTAATAAAAAGTCCAATGTTTGATACAATTGACGAGTGTTTTCTTTGTCTGCACGTTAGGAAATTATCCTCTTAATGTTTAGATTCTCACTAACTTTTTTTTCTACCGCTCTTAAGCGTTTTTGAAATTTCATCTTCTAGTGTGAATCAATTTACACCGAGTCTTTGAGATTCAGGCCGAGAGTAGTTCAACTCAGGTTTTAGAACTTATGCCTCCATCCAATTAGTTCTGTAAATAACAAAATGTGAGAAACTTAGAAATAAAAAATGCAATGTAAGGGCACATACGGGTGACGGTTCTAGGGGAGGGGCCCGGGGGGATACCCTCCTTTATTTTAGGTACAAAATAAACGCAGAAGAAAAGCCGGCAGGTGTACACACACAAGAAAAAACCGCCGCTCAAGGTCTGGATCCGCCACTGCATACTTTTCTTATTGATATACGTTTGGTTTAAATGTGGACCTCTCACTTGAAACGTTCCTTCGTATTGGTTGGGTATGTAGAAGAGTTTTATTGGCTGATGGCGAAAAGTGCCGTCCGATTACTTGTGTTTGTAATCAGACAGTCCAGACATGAAACATCCAATTACGCTATAAAAAGGTAGTTACGATGTAAGAACCATTCATTTTCGAATATTTTTTTAATTGACAGAATTTTACATGTAATTCCTGCGCCGTTAGATGAACGCGATTCAAAAATCTCTCCAGTTCAACCGACCACGATGAGACAACACTGGTCTGTAGCACTGACGGTCAGAGGATTGCCTTTGTATGAAAATAAGAAGCCGCAGTTGCCTCAATGGTCTGCGCGAAAGAACCACAGCCCCTCTTTATCCTCTCGAGTAGTCGCTTATACAAGTGAATGCAACTTATTTCCCGCCAGAATGATTAACCTTGGTTCTAAAGCATTAGGAAACGAAAAGCAAGTGGTTGTTTAAGGCCTGCAAATTATCGCAAAAAATGATGGAATTTGCTGTTTTAGTGGTTCGGGTCTAAACTAAAATGTGCGTGAAATATAGGAGTTCACAACAGAGTCCTTCAGTACTATACATAGTCACCTGTCAAGCGAGGGGACTAAATTCAAGCGAAGTTTTCCCAAGGGAAATAAACCGGTAGTATGATTAGCAATGGATACGCAACTTCCATATTATCACGCAAAACGTTACGTCATTTCTACTTACTGACCACAAAGAACCGAAGGAGTAATGCAAAGAAATATTGTTCGGTTAGAAGCAGGAAGCGTTGCGCCAGTACCTACGAAACGATTGCGAATGAGACTATCCTGAATGAAATTCTCTCTTTTTAGACCACCAGTCTCGTCTGAATACAGTTCACACATTCTTCTTTTGCACTTCTTTACTTTATGAAACTAGTTCAAACCCTCTAAGAAAAACTGAATTGTTTTCACAATTGATGTCGAACGACTCAGTTGCCGAATTTGACTAAATACAGTGACCACAATCATACTTCGCTCAATAGATAGCATAAGAGTTTTCACTCGCTAAAATCAGTTTTTGGTTTCTTAACCCCCATATTCGAAAGTTGTGATGGGCACAAGAACCGTTCCTTTTCTTATTAACATTTTAGTAACTTGAGCAAAAGAGAAGCCTTACACTGTTTTAGCACGCCGTTTCAGGACAATTCAAATCTAGATTATAAAGACAAGCGCAGCAATACCTAGCGTTTTCATTGTTGTGGTATGTACATGCCCCACAAACTCTGCTGCCAGGCTTTGACAGCTCCACAGCACCAAGTCCACGTGTCGTGGCACACATTTGACAAATTTTTTTCTCTGCAGGATTGAAGAACGTGCAACGAACACAGGACCACTCTTCTCTGCTAATTTTTAAGCTCTGTTCACACTTTCCCTTGGGGACCTTCAATTTAACAAATTGATGACCTCCATTAGTTTCTTCGCAAAGAGCAGCAGAATAGGTTTCCTTGCATTTTTCACAGACACATCGAAAACAAGAACGGCAAATGCATGAGGCTTCTAGCCGGCACAAAACGCATATGCTGTTTTCAACTTTGTTGGCTTTGTTCGCTGCTCGAGCCTCGTATGATGTGGTTTGAGTAGTTGATACAGCTCCAGTCTGAAATTCTTTCACCGAACCTCGATTAGGAATTTGAACTGGTTGGAAATCCTCTTTCTGAGTGGAATTCCTGGTTGTTCGAGACACCACATGCGACAAGGGTTTCTCTGATAAATGACTCTTCCCTTCAGTTGCACCAGAGCTGATATTGTAAACAGCTGTGTTACCAGACGCTACAGGACTTGCTTGCATTGATTTAGCGGCTTCATCCGCACCAGGAATATGCCTCACATTTTCTGGCTGCCTCTTGTCTTCGCTGGACATGTTCCTGTTCTGCTGAGAAGCTTGTGCAGCTTTACTAGCGTAAGAAGGCTCATTGTTGCCTGACAAATGACACGTGGATCTCGCATGCCTCTCATTCTCCATTCCAGTAAAGCCCTGGGCAGAGTGAGAGCTGGAAGTTTGATGAATGGGTCTCCCACCCTGTCTGGTGAGCAAAGATTTATCCAATCCACTGGATGTAATATTCTGACTATACGAACCATTAGTACCTCTGAGGTTCACATACCTGGTGTTTGTACCATGTGCAATTGCGCCAGCTCCCTCTGAACTCCTGAACGAGTAGCCATTACTATGTAAAGCCAGTTGCATTTTGGATTCTTCAATTCGACCTTTAGTGTTACCAGGAGTGTATGGTGAACCAGGTAGGGGGAAAGTGCGGTAACGTGAATCAGCACCATGCTGCTGGCCTCCTTTTGTGTAAGCAGAGTACAGTGGACTGCCTGTTGAAGGCTTTGTAGCATACTGGCTATCAGTGGTCTTTTCCCTTCGAGTGACAGTCATTCTAGCATCATCACATCCAGATCGAGGATAAGTGCTGCAACGTGAATCAACATAATGCTGGTGGCCTCCTTTTGCGTTAGCAGAGTACAGTGGACTGCCTGTTAGAGGCTTCGTAGCATGCTGGCTATCACTGGTCTTTTCCCTTCCAGCGACACTCATTGTAGCATCATCATATCTGCCATGATTACGAGAATCAAGTAATCTCTGGTTACGCGCATCACAGTTGTATGTATCTGCGTGCTCAGTTTGGGTTCCTTTAGGACTTAAACCATACAAAACGTTGTCTGTAACCTGTCCCGAGTCAACACCTCCTGGTGGTACTTTGTAATGTGGTAGTTCAGCAACAGGAATGTATCTGTTACCGACTGTAGGCTCGTTTGATCGATTAATAGCATCTGCAGCACCACTGGATATTGCTTTTGACAGTTCAAGTTTTCGCCGTTTATTGGCAATTTTTATGTCTAGATAATGAATAGCTTCTTCCACGGTACGCTTTTTTGATCTTACTTTGACAATTTTCTCCAGTGGAATATTTCTGGTTGAAATTTGACTTTGAATTTCCTCGATCAGCTGTAACTCCACCTGTAGTAAATAAAGGTAGAAGGACGCCCTCATGGCATTTCTTCTTTCAGAATCTTTCAAAGACACTTTCTGTTCATCTCTTTCTGTGTAGCCGAGAAACTCCAAAACAGACAATATGAAGTCCTTGTCTTTCAGTTGTTTTTCAATGTTGCATTTAAAAAATGCAGTGTAAAGCTGTTGGAGAAGAAATGAAAATTTATAAGTCCACCAAAATACTCAACTCCTAGTGGCCGAGAGTAGCCACTGGAAGTTTTAATTCCACAAGTGAAAAGTTAGTCAGGACATCAGCATCACTAGGTGAATATAACACAGCCCCTTAGCCCTTTAAGTCACAGGAGTGATTAACATGTAACTTCTCCCTATAATATCCATACAATATCCAGCAAACAGTGATACAATATCCAGCAAACAGATAATGAGAATACTCAAACTTATCTAGTAGAAGTTGTCCTCTCGATAGAACACCAAATTCTTGTGAGTGATTTACAAGGAACAGTGTATCGGCAAGAAGAGAGAATTAGCAATCAGAAACTGACTAATCACAACTGACTTAAAACTGGGTGAAACTGCAGAGTAACTTGTTCGATTAAGAAAATTGTCAGGAACAATTGCTGAATCTGACTTTTCACCTTCAGGGCTCACAAATGAGCTGCCTTTTTATCCACTATTTTCTAATTAAACCCTTGAGAACCACCTGAAACATGCATCTCAAATGGGCAAACAAGTTGCATAAATGCATAAAAAAAGAAATCACAGATCTTTTGCTGTCTCTTACCCATTCATTACCATGAGGAACTATTCAATCACAGATAAAACTCTAGAAGTCACCAATAATTTTGATATGACAAATTACTTGCAAAGAAAAAACTCTAAAGCCCTCTCTTATTGCCAGAGAGGAAAAATTCAAAGACAATCACCAATAACCATACAAGGTACCTTAACAGTGTGGTATTCTTTACGCCAGGGGAACTTCCACAAGTTCAATCCATATTTCTCCAGGCTGTTTATTCCAGCCTTCACCATTTTATAGAAGTCTTCATGCTCATCAAAATACTGAGAAATTCTCACTATGTCTTCATAAAAATCCACTCCCTGTGCAAATCTGTCTCCAGGTTCAACAGTGCTCAAGAATTCCTTAGAGATCCTCTCAAGCCCCTTTTCCTTACTTTCATCGGTTATATTTTGCGAGTGATATCCTATGTATTGGTTTTGCAAAGCTTCCACATCCATTACCTTTAACTTTACATCACTTTTAAGCCTGGAAAGAAAATCAAATCTCATCTTAAAAAAACAAAACTAAACAAAAAAAAACAAAACAAAACAAAGTTAAAAAAAAAAGAAGAAACCAAAATAAAAACACAACAACAAAAAAACCTAAAAACACTTAGTAAACTGTTATGCATTTCAGCTTTTTTTCAAAGATTTACCAAAGAAATTACCAGAATTTGGTTTCAGGTTTAAAAAAAGGGAGAGACAAAAACCTGCAAATCTGAATGGGAACATTCAGTGGAGGCTGCAAAAAGATCTTTTTGCAGCCTCTGCTCATTTCATTCAAACAGCTCATTTCATTCACAGCCTCCGCTCATTTCATTCAAACGCGACAAAAACATAGGCAATTTTTTGGTCAGAAGTTCTTTTCAGACTAATGACCAACCAGGCACTTTTAAATGCGCTCGTGCATGATGCAAAACGTGTCCTTTCATTCACAACACTGATAAGATATCAGGACCTAAATGATCCATTAAGATCACCGATCAGTTCACGTGCACCTCCGCCAATGTAATCTATTGCATAACTTGCACTTATTGCAAAAAGA